CCGGTTCTAAAGATAGCGGTTCCACATTAACGGTGTTTATCAGTGTTTTGAGTATAATACTGGCCATAGCACTGGTAGCCGGTCTTGTATACTATGTATTCAATAAAGGATACTTGAATAGTGTTTCCCAACTACGAGTTCCCACTTTTACTATACCTAAGATCAATATACATAGACCAAGTACAGTTGATCCAGGTAGGGATACGCCGCACAGCTTTGATAACCCCATTCACGTGTCAAGAGAACAGCCCTTACCTAAGCAGAGGTCGACCAAAATTAATGAAAATTCAGCCACATTTTCAAATGGCACTGAATTTTTGGTTGAACCTGATCATGAGAACTGAATCAATTACAATACTGTATACAAGTGTATTATTGTGTGATTATTCAATGATATATTCACTTATGGGAAAACAGTTTATTCTTCATTCAAATTAATAATATTGTAAAATTTTTTAATACAAGTCATGATTTGGTTAAGTTTTAAAACTTATAGCATTTTATGCTCTTTGTACTACATTTGTATAAACAATTTAATTATTAACATAGATTTAAAAATACGGTAAATAGTAAATTATACAATAAATTAATGTAATTATAAATAACTCAAAAATAAAAACAAAATATAAAAATAAGATTTATAAAAAAAATAATTTAATTAATTTAATTTAAAAATATTATGAGTACTTTGGTTACGGTCATAATTTAGTTTTGAAAAAATAAAATAATTTAATTACCGGTGTTAATATGTGATGATTTAATAGTTAAGATTATAATGGTTAAGAATATGATAAATATACCGTAATTGGCAATACCAGTGAACATTGTGTAGTGTATCAGTCGACCTCAGAATAAGGTATAGAAATGGGTTTATTTGTGTTAAAAACAAGATTCTCGTCAAATTGTATTTGATTTTCATTCAATGAATTATCAAAAGCAGTGTTATTTGGCGGCAATGAGTGGTAAACGTTGACAACACTGGCATTTATCTGATACTTCCTCACAATCTTAGGCTCATTTGATGGCAAATAAGCGTCGCATTCATCTGATGTCAACCCTCTGTGTCTCCTCTCGAACTGAATGGTCATAAGGAATGGTATTCTAATTGAATACCTGTTTGGCATCAGTAGCCAAACCGCCAATAATAAGACTACTAAAAGTGTGCAAAAGCAGAGGAATATGAAGACAGGGATCACTAAATATATGGGAATATGACTGAAATACGATGACATGAATAGACCTATAGTTTGCATACAAAATATATCATTAGATTAATGTATGAAATGTGCGAAATGTGTGCAATTAAAGACTTAATCACCGGAAAAGTGTCCCAAACTCTTGAGTGGTGTTAAGACGAGTTCAGCGGTGAGTTCGCTGATGACTGTCAACGGATTGATTTCCCAAAACGGGTCGACATTAACGGCCCGGTAGTAGTCGTGTCGGCGCTGTTCGTATGAATACATGTAATGTCTGATCCACGACACGAACGTCAGCTCATTGTAACGGTTGAGACACTCATGTGGTGTCTGTAAGACATAGCACTGTTTACGACTCAATTCAATCAAATACTTTTGACGCCATTTCCACGCAATGCACACCACTATCACACCAATCACTGCCGTTACACACAATGACTTCCTGGTGATAATGGACTCAAAGTGAGGTATCAGTGGTCGTCGCCACCACTTCTTCAGTAGATATTTGGCCGCAAATACTGTCAACACGAGTGCCGACAAAACAAACACTAATTGCAAGACATTTACCACAAAATTAATGATATATTCCGCGAATGACTTGTGATTGTAATCACTGGTGACGGGAACGAGACTATCGATCAGGTGGTGGACATGACATTCCGGTACTTCTGTTCATCCATATCGCACGTGAAGAAGAAATACGTGCCGAACCGCGAGTGCGAGTAATCCCAGGCCGATGTCAACAGACACTCCTTTCCAGTGCGTCCTACGCTTGCCGTCACCGGACTGTTCTCTAATATTGTCGGATCCGTTATCTGACGTTTACTGCCAAAAAAGCCACCTGGGTGCAACATCACCACGAAGTATGTGATACTTATGCTCGCGTTCAGCCGCAAAGTCCACCGATGTTTACTTTCCACTGTAAATGTGGCGCATTCACCCTTATCCGCATCCCGTCTGTCATACAAATGAATCTTAAGTTTCATTGAAATTGTTTCTAAAAATAATGTTTGCAATGCCTGTAAGCAAAGTGGTCGTCCCATTCGGATGTCGAGTTTGTCTCTTGGACCAAATGTGAGTTTTTCCACTGGTTTTTGTTGTCCAAATCATAGACATACACAGTACTCATACTTACTTTATTTCCATAATTAACAGCTTTGAAAATCATTTACATTTAGTTTATGTGAACAGATATTCAATTATGTTTCATTTCTCACCGCATTTGCCAACTCTGCCGACCCACTGGCCATTAATACATGTCCTTTTCTGGACATCGCCGGTGACCCAACGATAGGCTGACTCGCACTGGTAGTTGATTACTGTCCCGTTCTCATACCACAGCCGCAGATCTGACTGACCGCCGAAGAATTGGAATCTCTTAGATGTGGTCGGTTTGGCGAACAAAGGCATCGCTGGTATACCACACGCCAGCGCTGTCTTATTTGCTGTGCTCACCAGTGGATTAAAACTAACAATATTTGGTTTCAATGATATGTCAATTAAATTCTTGCATAGAATTTGTTATAATTCTTCATTTTATTGATCAAGGTATTCATTTAATGATTATATCATATATAACTTATATGTATGGCAAATAAACTCACGCGTCAAATGTGGTCTTATGTATATCTTTGGCATCAGTATCTTTAATATCCTTAAAATGCTCGGAATTGAGTTCAGAGTCGTGAATACAAGTGGGATCGACACCCGTCCACTTGCCATCACACGGCGTGTGGGAGTGTCTTAGCGGTTAGTAATACCTCAATAAAAATAGCGGGTTTGTAGACATTATTTATTATGAGGGCTGGTTTCGTGAATATAACGGCAATATACATATGTTCACGAGACAGATTATGCCGACTGAGAGTGAGTCGTCTTTGGATGGCGGGTACGGGCACTGGACCTTCGGTTTACAGACTGGGAAGGGGTCTAACCTAAAAATAAATCAATTAGAAAGTTATAAAATAATTTTTAAATATTTTTTAACAAACCAATGATTATTAAGACCACATCTAACATCTTCGGGTCCATCCAATTGGAAGCCTTCATCACATCTGTACCTATAATAGGAATTTCCAGAGTATTTGTTCCCACTTTTGATGAATTCAATGGTGGAGTGGAGGACAACGTCTGCCGACCCGCACCGATACAAAGGCATAAACGAGTTGGTGAAGAGTCTGATCTCGCAAATGGTGATGTCGTCCACATCAAACTCAATGGTAATCAACTGAGTCTTATCCTTCTCCCAGGCCTCGTACTTGGAGTCCCCGTCGAACTCCATATAACAGGTTAGGCTTAATCGCACCGTTTGGTCACTGGTTTCCATCACTTGGGGCACACATTCTCTCATATCATTCACCTAATCATTGCAATTAAAATATATAAACAAATGAATACTATTTTAAAGAGTTGAACAATAAATGCTATTTTTATGGATATTTACTTTTGAATATTTAATGATTTTGGAGGCGTCTGTGATTTTGGCGATATTTCCGTTTCTGTCCGAAACAAGTATCTCGATGTAAGAGATGTGTCGTTTCACCTTGGTCAGGTGCAGTTTCCACGAGTGAGGTCTTGACATTTTGGTCGATCGCAAACACTTATTGCTCTTATAGTCCACGGAATAGGCGGCCGATCGGTCGCTATTCCAATTCTGGCGCTTATATTCCAGTGAATGGTTTCTCCTGTCGGCCAAATCTATGACACTGATTGTCCCGTAGTGTAGTTCCTCCACTGAAACCATTTTATTTATATTATTTTATTTTATTTTAAAGTCTTTTAATTAATTTAGATGATTTTACCACATCGGGGAATAATGCCCACCCATTGACTATTGACACACTTGCGACTAGAATTACCCAATAGTTTCAATTCCTCTAACTGACAATGGTAATCCACACTCTCACCATCAAAATAAATCTGTTGCACCCTATCAATTTGTGCTGACCATTCAATTATTAAATATGTGTATATTATTCAATAAATGATAAATAATCTTATAAGTAAACTTATTCGCTTACCATTATACGGAATGGCAGGTAAACCACAATCGCTTAACACATGTTTCGTAATAAAAGTTATTATAATTAAGAAATTAACTAAAAATATATACTCCAGTTTCATATCGAAATTTAATTAGATTATTGAGGCTAATAAATTTTGAATTATTTGAATTTTGATTAAACTTTGAATAAGTTTTATATTATTGATGTTAACATAAAATTGATTACAGAATGAAGTAATAATTTAACTCAAAAAATATTTGCTTCAAAAGAGTAATATTTGCTAAAAGGAGATCTGAATAAATAGATATTCGTTTTGTTAATCCATTGGATGATAATGACATCAATTTGTTGTGTCATTGAATAACTGGTACTCCAATTGTATAAAAATCTTTTAAACATACAATAAAAGCAGTGTTGAACAAACTTACGACAATAAATTCAATCAATTTATTATACGTCAAACAAATTCTTTACAAACAACAAAAGATTAGTATTTTTACATAAAAGCAAATTTATAAAAAGTAATTAAAATTGCTAAAATAAATTTGTAATTTAACTGTATACATTTTTGTTGTCATATACAAATATGTGACCAAAAAAGAAAATGCAGTAAATCAATAAGTATAATATCCATTCAAATTACAATAGAAATTAAAAATATTTTGATAAGATTTTAGTAAAATATTAACTCAAACTTTAAATGCTACTCAACGCCCATAACCCCCACTATTTGTAACAATTCTCCAGCGCTTACCCTTTGGATAATACGGTTTTTTGGATGTTGAGGGCGGAGGTGCAGGGGTTGTCTCCATGACAGGGTGCTCCACGTCCTCCTCCTTGGTTTCCTCGAGGAACTGCATCTGAAACTTCTTTGGCGGCCATTTCTTTTTGGGTGGAGGCGGTGGTGGAGGAGGTGGTGGTGCGGCCGTTGTCTTCTCTTCGGGCACCTCTTCCTCCTCGTGTTTCTGTAGTTTAGGTGCGGCTGTGGTTGTGGTGGTAGTCGTAGTGGTTGTGGTTGTGGTCGCTTTCTTCTTCTTGACGGGCGCTGAAGTGGTTGTCGTTGTCTTCACTTCTTTCTCCTCCTCTTCATGTGATTCCTCTTCTATTTCCTTAAAATCGTCTGAAAATAAATTTAATTGTAAATCAAGTATAAGAAATTTTGAAAGAATGTCAACATTATGGACAAGTACATTTATCACTTGTAACACTTCCCAGTTGCGAGACAATCGTTATGAACAATAACGAGTAACAAATAAATGTTTTATTCATGTTTAAGACATTGGATAGTTTGCTTTCAAACTCATGTGGAAATTAAACCCAACATTTTCTGTCAAGAAATGAAAATCACGACAATTTTATATGAATCCAACATTTAATTTATCAATGATTTTCTACTTCACCTTAATTTTTACATTCAAAAAATAGTATATAATTTTGTCTAAAACATATAATAAAAGTTTAAATTTAGACAAAATTACGACAAAACGTTTGATATGCAAATTTAGTTCAAGATCTAAGTCTAATGTGACAATACAAGTGACTCCAATGTTAATCACATGCAAAATGAGACAAAAAGTAATAAAAAGTATTTTAAGAAAATTCAAATGAAATCAAATGCTAATTAAAACGCGAACCCAAAGCTAACCTCTGTTTATAATTGGCACCAAATTGTGTCTAAAAGGATTAAATCATATATTAAGTCATACAAATCCAATTATAATTGGTTCCGTTAGGCAAAGGCTTTAAAAAAAATTTAAAACTTTATTCAGTAATCTATTATAGGTTTTAAAACAATAGTCAATATAAACTTATTTGTCTGTCAAATTGCGTGATTAATGACTTCTCAACACTTCAGGTCTTTGACTAGAAATGTTTGTCAATTAACTGATAGACTGTGACATTAATTGTTATATTCGTGACTCCAATTATGCGTGAATTTTGTCCGGATTTACTCTCAATTGAATACTTGACTTGAATTTCAATGCAAGGATTAGTTGCAAAATAGAGTATTAAATTAGAAATGAATTAAAAATAATTTGCATTTGAATGTATTAGAAAATTGTCTAAGCAATTTATAATAGTCTTAATCTAAATATTAATCTTATTACTAGTAATACACAAATCTAAAAGTTAAAATATATTTATTAATGAGGTGTTAAGTAAATATTTAAAAAGTGACATACTAATCGAGTTATAAACTGGTTCTGTAGCTGTATTACATTAACTATTCCATATGTTTTTAAAATATGATTTAAAATTCAATAAACTTGCAAATAATAATTTTGACTCAAGACTAGACACAATATCTACATCAATATATGACACACTAGTATATTTCTACCTGATATCATAACATTAATAAATATTGATAAAAAATGAACAAACTAATTAAACAACTAATTGTCAATTAAATATCTTATTACTGTAAATTAGTTTATCAGCCAGTTAATATCTAACAATAATTACCCTGATAATTTAAAAATTTTATTTATAAAATTATAAAAATGATAACTTGTTATGTCTATTTTAAAACTATGAATCTTAATCATATCTATTTCTAATCTAGTATTAAAAACTAAAAGGATTCAATTAAATACAATTTTTAATCTAAATTAAAAACAAAACCTTAAACCTTATATAAACATAAAATAATAAAAGTGTGACCAAGGAGATACAAATATGCAATACTCGTAAGATTTATCAGAATATTCTGTTCATTCATTCCTCACTGTAGGCCTCTATTCAATGCAATGATGTCTACAAATAGCGGACATAATTGCTGTGAGACTCGTGTGAAGAGGCGTTTTATTGAGTGATCGCAGCATTCATTCACTCATTCAGTGATTCAGTCATCGATTGGTTGAGTGAAGCATCAGATCATCGGATCTGCTCTCGACTCATACCACAGACCTATTGATACACTGAAGACATCATGAGATAAAGCGATCAAACAGTGGTCAACACAATGATTGGCGGACTATTCATATACAACCATAAGGGAGAAGTACTCATCTCCAGAGTATATCGCGATGACATCGGGTTAGACATCACCACTCATTGCACTCACCATTGATTACTTGTTGACATTTGCTGACATTAACTCATTATCTTACCATCTCTTACCTCGCGGTCCAATCCATGGATATCTCCGGCAACAGTCGCAACGCTGTGGACGCGTTTCGGGTGAATGTGATACACGCGCGACAACAGGTGCGGTCGCCGGTGACCAATATGGCGAGGACTTCATTCTTCCACATCAAGAGGGGCAACATCTGGTTGGCGGCCGTCACCAAACAGAACGTGAACGCGTCGATGGTCTTCGAGTTCCTGCTCAAGATGTGTGAAGTAATGCAGAGCTATTTCGGCAAAATCAGCGAAGAGAACGTCAAAAACAACTTCGTCCTCATCTACGAGCTCTTGGATGAGATCCTCGACTTCGGGTACCCGCAGAACACCGACACCGGTATACTCAAGACGTTCATCACTCAGACGGGCATCAAGTCGGCCACCAAAGAGGAACAGTCGCAGATCACGTCACAGGTATGCCAGACAGTGACCCACGAGTGGCCCACGAACTCCTATCTCATGTGTTATCTCTTACTGAACGCCCCCTTCAGGTGACGGGACAGATAGGATGGCGTCGCGAAGGCATCAAATACAGGCGCAATGAGCTGTTCCTCGATGTACTCGAGTACGTGAATCTTCTGATGTCACCACAGGGTATGTCATTATCTGCTCACTATTACCGGTACTGCCATTTAAGACATGGTTTTCTCGTTATTTGCTTTTTATTTGAATATCGATTTCAAATCGTGTCTTATATTAAGATTGCAATCAAACTCTTGTTTTTGAATTAAATTAATTGTTTGAAAGCAATAACTGTTTGCAAACAAACACCAAATCAACTGATAATTAATGAATTGACACGAAAATTGTGTGCAATTGTAGGACAAGTGCTATCGGCGCACGTGGCGGGCAAAGTGGTGATGAAGTCATACCTGTCCGGAATGCCTGAATGCAAGTTCGGTATCAACGATAAGATAACGATGGAAAGTAAGGGCAAACAGACGCAGTCGGCGGCACTGGACGACCCCTCCCGGCCCACCACCACCACCAGCAAGTCGTCCATTGCGATCGACGACTGCCAGTTCCACCAATGCGTCAAACTGTCTAAGTTTGAGTCCGAACACGCCATCAGTTTCATACCACCCGATGGAGAGTACGAACTCATGAGATACCGGATCACGAAAGACATATCGTTCCCCTTCCGGATCATACCATTGGTGCGAGAGGTCGGCCGAACCAAAATGGAGGTCAAAGTCGTACTTAAGTCTAATTTCAAGCCATCACTTATCGGCCAAAAGATTGAGGTGAAGATCCCGACGCCCCTCAACACCAGTGGCTGTCAACTGATTTGTATGAAAGGAAAGGCCAAATACAAGGCCAGTGAGAACGCCATCGTCTGGAAGTATGTGGTGATTGATTGGTTGTCGCAATCATTATCTCTAATACTTATGAATGTATCTGTGGTTTAGGATTAAGCGAATGGCGGGTATGAAAGAGACGCAACTGAGCGCTGAGATTGAGTTGCTGTTGACGGACACGAAGAAGAAGTGGAACCGACCGCCCATTTCCATGAACTTTGAGGTGCCGTTCGCGCCCTCCGGACTCAAAGTTCGTTATCTGAAGGTCTTTGAGCCGAAACTCAATTATAACGACCACGACGTTATCAAATGGGTTCGCTATATAGGCCGCAGTGGACTCTATGAGACCCGATGTTGAGTCCCTTTCCCACTGGCGCTCGCTTCTGGATGTCGACCCAAACACTGTTTTCTCTCTATTCAAGGGTCGGCCGGTTTTATGTCATTCCAGTTGAATGTTCTCTCAATTACTCCAAAAACAAATATAATTATTATTAAATAACCCTAACACTATTGAATATCAATTTTATTGTGATTTTTGTTTCCAAATAATGTTTAAAAATTAATTTTTATTTTTAACAAAATCTCTATTGAACTGTCGTTTAGAGTCTTAATTAAGTTATATGTTTATTGACGAAACACTCCTTAATCTATGAAAAATATTTATATATAAATACTGTATTTCACTCTAAGTTTATTATATTTTTAGCTTTAATTATACGAAAACACTATTAGATTTTAAATGTTATCAAAATATATAAATTAATGAATTAAAATCTGGTTCTGATGTTTACATTTGTTGTACATTATTGTATTTTATTGAAATGTATTTACGGGAATTCATATAATTTAAAGCCTTTTAAGGATATCATTCATGTTTGTGTTGACTCCTCTTTCCGGGCTCGTAGTGGACAGACCTATGGCCGAAACAAGTGGACTCACACTTGCCTCTCACGGCATATAATGTTTTGGTTGACCGCACGTGTGTTACACCGGTATATGAATCACACGAACCTTTTGTAGGAATACTAAAGCTCTGAACGAAAAGCAAGTCTCCGTCACAATCGCCACCCCTTACTCTTCCCATTCGCCAAAATACTTCTTTGCCTTTAAAACAATCAAAAATCTCTTATTTGTCATTGAAATCAATGTGATATTTGGTTCAAACCATTTTCATCTTTGACTGCATTAGTCGTGTCTATTTGATTGAGAGCGGTATCTCTGCCATTTCTATGCCCGATATCAATGAGTGGTTTGTCAGCAATTTGAACGAATAGTTCGTTGCAATAAATTTGTTGTTGAAATTCATATGATTTGCTAATCGACTGGAAGTATGAGTTGTGTTCGCACTCGTAATCGGCTGATACTGACCACAGAGTATTGTTCTCATATTTGCCATTATTCTCCCCTAATATTAAGAAT